TTTTTTTCTTATTAATTTCGGGGGGAGGGGATGTTAAGAAACAAACCAAGAATGCTGCATTTTATCATAATCTGTAGGATCAGAAATCATCTATGCTGATGACAAGTTATAGCACTTTTCTCGCCAGAACTAACAAGATGGCTTACGGAGCCCAAAGGTTCATCACCGAACTAAACAAAGCCCTCCACCGGACCCTGTCCTGGGCCAACAAAATCCAATCTCCCTCAACACCTATCTCCCATAGATCTCGCCTGACATTATCCTCCCATCTATGTCTAGGTCTCCCCTGAGGTCTCTTTCCCCTCAGGCTTCCCAACCAGTACCCGGTGCACACCTCTTGTCCCATCCATGCGCGCTACATGTCCAGCCCATCTCATTCTTCTCGACTTAATCACCCTGACAAATTTAAGTTTTCTCCATGCCCCATCGTCCTCTCTCATGGGCCCAAATATCCTCCTCAAACACCCGATTCTCAAACACCTGCGATCTGTGTTCCTCCCTCTGAGTGAGAGACCATGTTTCGCACCCATACGAAACAACAGGCAATATTATTGTTTTGTATACTTTAATTTTCAAGTTCTTAGAAATCAGACAGGAAGACAAAATATTTTGAACTCAGAAGTAGCAAGAATTTCCGGAATTTAGTCTCCTCCCAACTTCCTCACGAGTATCATTTTGATTTGTTATTGTCGTTCCCAGATATTTGAACTTTGTAGCCCTTTCAAAGGACTTATTAGCCACCCTAACATAATTCTGCCCGCCTGTCTTCTGATGACGAGATACTAAGAAGAACTTAGTTTTTTCTGAATTTACTTCCAGCCCCACTTGTCTACCAGCCTCTAGTAAAACTTCTGCGTTCCTTTTTATTGTATTTATATTGTCCCCCAATAAATTAACATTATCAGCATATGCCAATAGCTGAAGTGTCCCATTCAATTGCAAACCCTCCTGCCTACCTTGGACTTTCGTGATGGCACATTCTAGCGCAAAGTTAAAGAGCAAGGGAGACAAAGCATCTCCTTGTTTTAGACCGTTCTTGATGAAGAATGTCTCAGATACATATTTACCTATTCTAATTTTGCTGCAGGTTTCATTTAAGCACATTTTTATTAGACCCACTACATTCTTTGGTATGCCAAATTAAATTAAAATGTTGTGTAACACTTTTTTATTAACAAAGTCATAGGCTTTAATGAAATCTATAGACAATTGGTGTGCGGTCCCACTGTACTCTCACCTGACATTTCTTTCTAATTAAAATTGTCACAAAGAATTTAGGTCTGCGTTTCGTAACTTACAAATCATTACAGGACGTCAGGGCGTTAAGTTGGTTATCTTGCACATCACACCACACATACTTTACCTTTACCTACCAGTTTAATTACGATGAGGCGCTTTGAAAGATTCAGTCAAATTCACAGAGCAGAATAGTTCTTGAGAAGCTTATAGTAAGTCAGCCATTCAGAGAAATTTTATGCCTTTTATGAATCACGAGGATTGATTAACGTGTTCACAGAAACTGGTTTTTGTCCTGAGAGAAATTAATGTAGTTCACAGGGTCCATTTTAATATTATATTCCTACCTACGTTTAGGCTTCATTACGGACTGGTTTGTGCGACTATTAACTTTTGTAGGAGAACAGTGCTTAGTTACTTCGTGCTTCCTGGACTCAAGAAGCTTTAATTTTGTACCTGCAACACTCGCTTAGAGAGTCCCGTCTTCTGAGCCAGCTGCTTCAGGTCCTTAGCGTCAGGATTCTGGTTAATGGCGAAGTACGACTTCATAGTACGCAGCTGGTGATGCTTGAACGAGGTCCTCATCCTCTTGGTCCGCTGCTGTTGGCCGTTTCCAGGAGATCCTACCGAAACGTCGTAGGCCAGCGATTCCATAGACGCTGAGAGTTCTCCTGGATGCAAGATCTCTGTGCAACAGAACAGTCAGTCGCATGCGAGTGGTACTTACTCAGAAAGAAAGTACTGAAGAATTAGGTTTAAAGGCTTACAATGGGACAGCTAGTTTAATCCTGAAAATACTGAAGACAGAGGCAGAGCGCACCTTCGAAACGTTGGTAATCAACCACTTACATGGTTACACGGTGTAGCATACGGGAAGACCACAATAGGACGTTATCCACTTCAAGTCCTCACCAACTGTTCTCTGTCTTCTGGGTTGCAGTGTCGTGTAGTTTGATAGAAATTTACTGACGTTCCAGAGATACATGCTGCCTCCGTCATCAGGGCGATGAGTAGTTATCGCCTTGATGATGTAGGCAGGTAAACTTCTACCAGAATGCACGGTAATACAACGCAGAAGACGGGCATCCTCGGACTCACTACCGCGCAAACCACAAATCATCTACATTCTATCCTTTCAAAATGACCGAAAGATTTAAAGTTGAAAGCAACAAGGAATTAAGTAAGAACGAAACAAAAAACGAATGAGGATAAAGGAAGATACCAAATTAATATAGGCCTATTTCAATAATATAGAACATGCAGCTACACATTATGTTAGTGTATTATTAGACCATTACAAATCTATCACAATTGTTTTTTTTTAAATTCTGAAGGCAAAGTAATTATAAACACAATACGTAAACTATCTTGATGTACCTACCTAACTAACTAACTAACTAACAAAGTAGATGGCTTACCTACCCCGAAGGTTCATCACCAAACTAACCACAGCCCTGTCCTGGGCCAACAAACTCCAGTCTCCCATAGATCCCGCCTGACATTATCCTCCCATCTACGTCTAGGTCTCCCCAGCGGTCTCTTCTCCCCAGTGCACACCTCTTGCCCCATCCATGCGCGCTACATGTCCCGCCAATCTCATTCTTCTCGACTTAATCACCCTGACAATACTGGGGGAGGAGTACAGATTTTTAAGCTCGTCATTATGCAGTTTTCTCCACGCCCCATCGTCTTCTCTCCTAGGTCCAAATATCCTCCTCAACACCCGATTCTCAAACACCTGTAATCTGTGTCTTCCTCCCTCAGAGAGAGAGACCATGTTTCGCACCCATACAAAGCAACAGGCAAAATATCTTGTAAATACTTAATTTACATCAACATGTAAAAATACTAAAACTGTGTTTTTGTATTCATTGTAGCATTTAGAAGGGGCCTGTAGGTCGTAACCTCGCCACCTGAAATATTAAGGAAGGTGTGATAGAACTAGGTCTAACAAGCTTCAGTTTAAAATTAAGAAATCAACACTTAAGCCTTGTCAACAACACCCCAAATTATCGAAAATAACTCAATGGTTGCTAATTGATTCTTAAACAATCCTTTCCCGTAAGGTGTTAATAGGCCTATAGCTTGTGTACTGCCATCATTAACTGATGATAATTTTGAGTCACGTATTACAAAATCCCTCGCACACGTTTAGGCAGATTTCATATGAGACTTCAGTCTTTTAGTAATTCCATTAGTCTCTTGTGTTATTTAATGGTGTAAAATGAAACTGTTTTCACTGCAAAATGTATGAGAGCATTTCTTGGTATTCGTATTAGAATAAAGCAATCCTGTAGCTTTCAATCAACAACGAAAGTATGCACCACGTTATCCTAGTGGACTTACCCCTAAATTAAACTGTTTCCAGTATAGCTTGTTTGATTTTGGGAGCAAATAGTTTTATGTCTGTGGTTTCTTTGGTAATTAATTTTTAGGTTATTTAACGACACTTTGTGAGCTGAGTAAGTTACAAAGCGCAGAAACGTATGCTGGTTATAGATGATGAATTGTAAAGGATATGAAAAGAAATGTTATGGGCTGTTTCATTGAATTATAACAGAATTTTCTTGGAAGGACTGCGGAAAACCACAAAACCTCAATATAGCCAGTATTTTGATCCAGATTTCAAATGGAGTCTCCCGAGTTTGAAGCAGGAGTTTCGGTCACATAACCGCGAAGTCAGATAATTACTTTCTTTACCAATAACTTACATTTGCAGGAGCTTTAATATAATATGTCTATCTATTTTATTTAGTGAACATAGTCGGAATCTTAAACACTTATGGAAACATTAAAAAGGGTCCTTAATCCAAGAACAATTTTTGAAATTGTGGAATAGAGTCGCGTTTAAAATACATAAGTAAAATCTGATACCTAAATAAACACGCTTAGAACGTTACATAAACAAGCAGCCAGTAACTGTTGAGATATCTTAAAATATTCGCTTATGATACTACCCAAATTAAGGCAGAATAAAAGTTTGGAAATTCTAAATAAACCTACTTAAGAAGTTACAATAACAAATATTCAATATAAGTACACAAATCCTAAATAAATACGATTGGAAGATTATACGAGAGTTGTGTCAAACGTCGAGAAATCCTACTTTAACCCATTTAGAAAGTTACATGAATAAGTCGACACAAGTTGAGACATCCTATGTAAACGCGCTTAGGAAGTTACGTGGATACTACGTCATGAAAAACAGAGGAATTCTGAAACAAAGACGAATAGGAATATTAACACGAATTAGGATGTTGATAAATAACAGAGTTGAACACTTAGTTGCAACAGTAGAAGGGCAGGAACATGGTTGTGTGAATGAAACTGTAGGGAGTTTTCGACACGCATCCCAGCTGATCTGATTTCAGGGTGCGATTGAACCTGCCAGCCGCTACCTGCACACACTGGCCCTAATCCATCATCCAGCCTCTGTGCTGAGATACTGAGAAAAGATGAACATTGAAGGTACTTGTCAAAAGTTTAGTTGTTAGGGGCTCGTCTGTCCTCAACTTAAGAATGCTTTCCTTTTCTGTGTCTTTTAGAGTTACCAGAACAGATTTGTAGTCTTTCAAAATACATGAAAGAATCAACTGATTTAAATAGTATTGGTTGTGATAAAGTGTAAAGGAATTTCGCTTTTAAATGTAGGAATATTTATTTAAAAATAAATTTAAATAAAGAAAAGTAGAAATAATGGTCGTGTTTTCATTAGCGGGACGCAGGTAAAATTCATAATATAAAGATAGACAAAGACTTGGAAAAATATTTAAGGGACGTAAGTTCACGAAAACATCATGAGCGGATGAAATTCGTGGAATGTTTTCTACCAGACATTTCATAATCATTTTTCTAACCGTCTCGTATCTCAAATAGACTGAAGTACGAAGTTATATAACCTGATTAAAACGTTTTGCAATGTAGTCTGAATGGTAATATTTTTAAAAGTAAAGAGTAACCAAAATTTCGTAATGTTATTTTTCTCACAACATCGTCAAATATTTTTCTGTTTACAACTAAAATTATTCTTTGTGAGGACTTTTTCCATCGTCTGTTATTTAAAATCACGACGTTTCGGAGGCTGGTTCTGTCTCCGCCTTCAGGTGAGAGTAACCTACTTTGTTGGGTCCCATAGATAGAGCTAGTCTCTGTCACTGGACCTCTCACCTGAAGACGGAGACAGAAAAAGCCTCCGAAACGTCGTGATTTTAAATAACAGACGATGGAAAAAGTCCTCACAAAGAATAATTTTAGTTGTAAACTACCGTCGTCAAAACCCTTTAGAATTGAATTTTCTGTTTGTTAGTGTTGCTCTAATATTGAAATATGAAGTATTTTCACATTATCTACTGAATAACTTATAGTTAAAGAGTACATAACATATTACTATTCACGTTGGTACTAACATTATTTAGAACTGTGGTTCTGTGAAGTATGGTATCTGTACTCTTGATTAGATTTGCAACAACGGAATTGTTTCTGTAATAATGCAACGAATTATTTTAGGGCTGTACAAAATCACGTTTGTGCATCATAATAACAAGAATTATGTAGGACTATACCCATACTCCAATGTGAAGGATATACTTTATTTTTTTTATGTTGGGTTAAATCTTCAGGAACATATCAGTTGTGGGTCTGCACAAGCCGAGACAATATGACTTCTTTTGTGAGATTTTCGTTTAATATGACTGTGAAGACGACGTTACTGTTCTTTGGTTCTGACATCATGTACACTCGTAGGTAGATAACCAAATTTCCGAAAAAAAACATACTGTCTTCATATTAAGGAATGTCCCGAAGATGGAGACAGCATGTTTTTCAGTAACGTTGGTATTCACGTGGCGTTACAACCCAGAAGACGAACATCAATAGTGAGTGACATATGTACGCTGTCATTTTACATTCTTTGCTGGGTTATTAAATGTACCTTATATACGCTGTATTACGGTTAATTATGGCAAAATGTTTACGTCGGAATGAATCCTAAAGAACATGCGTTTACGCTCTGAGTCTGGTGGTGTAGAAACTCAAAGGAAGGAACAATAGTTGAACAAAGAATTACATTTCAAAATTCGTGCAAGAACCAAAAGTTGAGAACACTGGGAAACGGGCAATTGTGATCGTGCATCAGACTGTATCCTAGCAACCGGGCGTTCAAATCGCCTGTCTCACTGAATGTAGCGAGGCGGTCGATCGGATTGTGCCAGAACGGCGTAAGTCGCAACCTAGTCCGAGGACGTCCAGTGAAGGCGGCCATGTTGTCCGCGACTGGATTCTCGTCGTGTTATTGGCCGCTACTTTATTCCTTGCCTTCTGTCTTATCCAATCAATGGATCTGGACCGCGATTCTCATCTGTCACTGTCCTCGGCCGACATCTGAACAGCCCACCCACCGCTAGGTTTCTGTCCGATGGACGTCCCAATAAATAACGGAGATAGCACGCCTGAGACCTTTCAATTATTCAATTGGACGATGGAGGGGGCTCAGATAACCTGCTTACAGCGACCACTCACGGTTGAATCCTAGACAGAGTGGCCAATCTGTGGGTCGTGTAACCAGTGACACTTGGTAGACGATGGGGGCACGTGACAGTGACAAGACGCGAGGTGACTGTTCCTGAGATTTCACGAAGAATCAGCATCGTATGAATTACGGACAGTAATTTCGTCTCTGCTGTTCGTA